GCCACGCCTGGGCCGTGCCACATGCAAGGCGTGCCGTTCAAAAAAGCCCTCATGGAACTTGTCCACGGTCACAGGCGACAGCAAAGTTGCGAGGCCAAAGTTGTCGGCATTCACCGGAGATGTTGTAGTGTCGACACGCCTCCATATGTATCAACGCTTCTTTTGACCAAAAGCGAGGCGATGAAGAATGAAGGCTGAAACCAACAACAAATAAGACTTTAAGCGAATAAAGCCCGGCTTGGGAAGACCTTGAACACTTGCATCACATTGGCCATTTGGCAACCAGCGGCCCGATAGTTTTCATGATCTCAAACAGATTGAACCATGATCCATCACAGAACAAATCGTGCCTCAGCACTGAGGCCCAGCTGGGCACTATCGGCAAAAACCCTACGCCTACGCTTTTAAAGCAAAGCCGCACCATCTAAGCTTTAAAGTGCTACAGTCTACAGTAGTGATAGAAGTGATGCTCCAGGTGTCAATTTGAGGCTATTGCTTTCAAGGGGCTTGTAATCGTCCCCGTTCTCTCCTCCATTCAGTTTTTTCTTTTTCACCATGGCGATGCGCCGCAAGCAAACTCTTGTGGGTGGATCGTAGCAATATGGTCATCAGGAGTGTTGCAATCCCAACTGATGCCAACTGGGACGTTAGCAACGCTCTGCATACTTGGCTGGCTGATTTACAGGAGTTTGGTCAACAAAGGGACACTGCCCAAGCTGAGGGACACTGCCTGCCCCTCGGCAGCGCTTGAAACAACGCGTTTGCTGTGCTATTTCCAATTGAGCACAAATGCTGAGGCTCAGCATCCAGGCACCTGGCTACGCGGTGAGACTCCTAGGTTTAACACTTGACAGTCATGGACTTCGATGACTTTGCGGAGAACCTATCGAAAACAACATACAGTAATAGCTACAATATAACAACTTCCACGTAGTTTTGGCAACGCTTGTGCAGCCTGGCAGTTTGGCACAAAAAGCTGCAACTAACTTCAGTCAGTAAAGCTCACTCTGATTCAGGAAGCCTGGTGGTGGCTAGTCACCCTTGGGGGCCCGAACAAAAGGCATCGAAGTTCATGGATCTTGGCGCCGCTGCACTGCAAACTCTACCAAGTTTTGCACAATTCAAACGTCAAGGCAACGTGACTGCAGTACGCAAAGGAAACAGGAATCATGAACCAATTGCAAACAACAATATCCTGGAATTATATACATTGAACATTGCAACCTCAACATATGCTCTGGTCCAGCCACAGTACCTCGTGCGATCCTACACATGTTTTGCCCAATCTACTGGGTCCCCGTGCCGAAATGTTCCCTGAACTATCCTGAGAGTCGGTGGCCAAGACCACTGGGTTGTCGCACAGCAGCAAACTGACCAGGGCAGCGGCCTCGTCGTAAAGCTTGAAGATTCGCTCCTGCTCAGCACGCTCGAACTCCTCAGTTGTGATGCAAAGGTGATAGAGTGGATTGAGTGATTGAGAGTATAATATAGATGGCACAAACCCCAAGAGGTGGTTTATAGGAATTTGAACCTAAAAAACATCTTGAGGTCTGTGCCATCTACTCTGAAACCACTGTACATCTCCAAGGCGTGACCGCAAACAAGCATGTGTTGATTTGAAGCCTGTTGATTCTTCGAAGATTTTGAGGCACTGTATTACTGCTTGACCAAATGACATTGCACGCTTTCAATCAGTCACTCACTTAATCTCTACATACATGTATATTATTGTATAATTTTATATATATATATATGTATACATGGTGAGCAACATCTTCGCTAAACTGTCTTTACAGTTGGGCTCCAAGTACTCCAGGTGCAAACTGTTGGAATTGAATCGGGGAATGACAGGAATGATACCCCTACAAACTGAGGTGCGCGCGTCATAGTATGTCATAAATGTCGAGAATTCGTCGAAATCCATGTAGTCGTACATGGTGATCTGAAATCAATTGACTGATGTGAAATGGATTGACATCCAAGTTCAAGCAATCAGCACAACTCCGGCGTTTTGCTGATCTGTGGACACACACCAAGCGATAATTTGGTGCTTGGTAGGTAACCCCTCTGACCCTGCAAATGCAATCTGCCTGAGGCGTGATGATCCCTTGTTGGTGCTAGCATGTGTTCGCCAATGCTCGCAGTATTTTGCGGGCACCTATGTCTGACCGATATAACTATAAGTTATAAATCACAAAATGTCGCAAAACCATGCAAACAGCTTTAAAAAAAACACACAGATTGTATGTATATAACAATTCATGCCCTGCCGGCCTTGCGTGCCAGCTCGCTGATAGCTTCCTGGCTTCAAGGCGATCCAGGATCAGCAAAAGCAGTCAAAGGCCACGGTAGTGAAGGTAGCAACCAAATCTTTGTTTTTCAGTTTTGCTATTGCTGTTTTGTTTGACTTTGGCTCCTTCAGCTCATTTCTATGAAAATGCTTGCAACCTGTGTCTCAACCATATGCGCTTTGTACAATCAGCCAAGCAACATCTGGCGGCACCCAGCGCCCAACAAAGTTGAGCAACGCGTCAAGGTCGTCCTGAAAGCTTGCACAAGCCAAAGGTTCCACTGGCGACGGATGACCATGAACAACGAGGTTCAATTGTTTATGTGAAGTGCATCAACCGACCAGGACCTAAGATCCTAAGGAACCCCCGTTTGCATGCGAGCAGCTTTCATGGCACTCCCGCATGTTCGTTTTCACAGCAGTCCTTGTGGATGTCAGCTGAGTCTGGAACCTGCGTCGGCACTTTCTAGGCGGCTGGAATACTGGACCGGACATCCAACAAATTTTGCATCAGCATGGAGCAGCTTGCGAGTGTCAGTAGATTAATCATATAAACCGGGTAGCCGAGATACATCTCTCTTGTAAGTTTCTGCAGGCCACTATGCACGGAAGCATGTCAACTAAACTTGGCCACTGCCAGAAGGAGTCATTGAAGTGCTGCAAATTCAGATTGGTCTATATAGAACCATTCATTGCAATTTCCAAGCATCAGGATTTCAATGTTTCTCTCTTCAAAGGCATTTTGGTGCAAATGATGTGCATGCTGTGAGGGTTTCTCGAGAACCAAAGAAGTACGCTGTCCACCGAGACTGAAGCACTCAACAGCATCGAGCCTTGAAGCGCAGGAAGGCTGCGTGCAAGTCTTCTTTCTGGGCGGATGGAAAGCGACAAGACACGGACGGACTTCTCAACGCAATGAGTGCCAAACCACTGGGATCATGGCAACATTGAGCTTGCCAAATCTTGTGAATCGGTTTTTTGATGTTTTTGGCGTGACTTTTTTGAGTACATGGACCAAGGATTGTGTCGATCTTCTATCGCACCTGATTCAATGGCACATGAATTGTTGACGAATAGTTGCCGACTACTTGGTCGTTCTTCACGTGAACCGTTTGTTTGAATTCGTTGACCTCGAACTTTGCATTTGCAGGTTCCCGGGGGATTCCCCGGCCTCAGCATCATCGAAGCCCGTCGACTCACCACGGACCCTTGCCAGTGTTCGCTTCAGCCTGAGAATAGTCGCTTTAGCTGTCCAAAGCAACGTCCAAAACAAGAATTGGTTGCTAATAGTCAAACCATTCTTCCATGATCCCAAACACAGCTGTCGTTCCATGGTTTTCAACCTGGTTTTCAATACAAAACACAAGGCGCCAACAACTTTGCCACCCGTGGGTCCTGCGGAACCGGGAATTCCATGCAAGGATCAGTTCGTAGCTTTGTTTCGCCATGTAGCCACTGTACCGATCTGTACTGCCTATGTTCCATTCCTGGCGCTTCAAAATACCTTGATCGAGTTCTGGGCGAAGTTAGTCGCAAGAAGCTAGTAACAAGGGCATCGCTACTAGTAACAAGGGCATTACTACTAGTAGCAAGAAGATACTAGCAACAAGGTTCCAAACATAGGATGCAGGATCATGGCCCCATGCTTGGAGAATTGTCATTTTTGCAAAGGACTTTTTCGCTGCAGTGCTCAGCTAGCAAAAGCAAGATCTAGGCCGGTTATGTGACACGAGTAAAAGTCAATGCACGATTCATCAGCTTCCCTCTCCAACCAGCTTCACTTGGTCACACCAAATGCCACAATTGGGCAGTCAAATCAACCTTACCAGCTCTAGTAGCTAGCCATTGACCACCAATAAAGTTACAAGCATTTTGTATTAGGAAATCATTGCATCCCCAGAGTTCTGTCCACAAAACTGTGGACACATTGCTGCTATGCACCTCACTTTTTTCCAATGCTGTCCCACCACTGCTTCAGCTTCAGGTTTCTTGTAAGCACAGGATAGCACAGCTAGGCTATTTTATCTGTTGTGAATCTGCACAAATGTTGCATCCGAACTCGATCACCTAGATGCATAGTTGAGCAAAACGTAAAAAAACACATCCCCAGTCCTCCCCGTCAAAGACTTGACAGTCGTCTGCTGACACCACTTGCAACACCGCCTGAGGGAAAAGAGCAAGGAAGCTACTAGGAACAAGAAGCTACTAGGAGCCTGGCCTTACTACTTGACACCTGGCCTTACTACTAGGAGCAAGAAGCTACTAGGAACAAAGGGCATCGCTACTAGGAGCAAGGACGCTACTAGGTTGTTTTGAAACCATTTGACACATTGGCGGCGTTGTAGTTAATCGGTGTCCTATTCTGGCAGCTAGGTTTTTTGGAGCGGCATCCAAATCTTTTCTGGCGATTGCTGGAGTATGCGCCCAAGCCTCGTCTTCCTTGTCTTCGCCTTAATCCAGCCAGGGCTCCCGCTTGTCTTTTTGTGGTCTTGCAGCTCTATAAAATTCGACACACTCTTTTTGCCACAGCGAAAGCTGGTCAGGAGCAAGCAGCCAGTCTTCACAGACTGCAAGCTCTTCGTGTGCCTTATGGAGATTGTCTGCAACCCTGACGTGCTTCACAGAGGTGCACACGTGTGCGCAACTGTACATGTTCACATACATGATGTATATACACCAGTGCTTCGGCTCCACTGGAATTAGAGCCGCATCAGCTCTCATCGCTGTCCTCTGCCCAAAGATCCCCTCGTAAGCTTGCTCGGAAGTTACCGGAGTTGTTCGTCGCCAGGCGATCTCCAGGGATAAAATCCTCCTGAAAGCAAAGAACGAACTGGATATCTCCCTCTCTCTCTCTCTCTCCCAGACTGAGCTGGATCCTTGAACCGTGTCTCGTTCTTCTGAAGCGTCTGTAATGACATATATCACATTAGCAATTTTAAATTTTGAAGGCAAAAAGATCCTACTGGACAACCAATGGCTTATTTGCCCAGTGCCAAGGAAGGCCAAAGCTGTAAGAACTTTAATTGGGTTCGACGAAGCGAGTCAGGATTTTGAGCATGTTGAGAGGGTGAAGTGAGAAGAACATTAGTAGTACCAAAAATATACTACTTATATACACGGTACATGAATCTGGATAACGGCAACAAAAGACTCAAAGCGCTTCAGGAGGTCCTCGTCGTCGGCCGTGTCAAATGATACTCCAGGAACCTTCCGAATAGGATTTCCACGACCATCGAAGTCGTAGTACGAGACTATGCGATTGGCATCGATCCTGGAAAGGAAGCCATGTGCAACTGCAAACTGCACTCAAGTTGTTACTAGTATATGGCTTCTTGTTCCTTGTAGTAATGCCAGGAGCTCCCTGCAGCGTCCTCGCTCCTAGTAGCGATGCCCGTTGCTCCTAGTAGCGTCCTTGTTCCTCGTAGTAAGGCCAGGAGCCCCCAATAGCGTTCTTGCTCCTATAGTAGCGATGCCCTTTGATCCTAGTAGCGTCATTGTTACCGTGTATGTCAATGTGCTCCCTAGGGAGCCAGCAAGCCCAGCCTTCGAGGCTTTTCTTCTCCTGCTAGCCGCAGCTTCAACCATCGATCATCATCCTCCTGCTATGCTACCCTTGAAAGAATCAGGTCAAGCTTGCAGATGGAATACAAGTTTTGGGGACTATTGCAAAACACGACAAGTCTTCGGGGATGTGAAAATTATGAAACATGAAAAGCAATATGCTATTGCATACGTCGTTAATGAACGCTCCTTCATGTCTTTCATGTGTTTCACAATTTATAAACCACAAACAATGTATCAACATGTACTTGCATGATCTTGCGTGCACTTCTTCCCGTGCTTTCTTGTATGTTCGGTTTGAACGCCATATTGTGTTTCGTAGTGTTTTCATCATTTTTTTAACATGCATTTAATTTATGATTGTTTAATTCAAAAAATACAATCGAAACTAATCTAAACGCAGCGGCCTTGAGCAGTTCGAATGTCTCAGTGCCCCCTAGCAAGGGAAACCTATGAGCTTCCAACAAATAGAATTGATCACCAGCAAGCGTCAACAAAACAGAAAGGGTTTGTGCTGTTTGCTGTCTTCCCCGTGGAAGGGGCTGTAGGTGAGCTGGAGGGCTGTCAGAATACCCTCCGGAACGCTTTCGAAACTGCAACACTAACACGCAGCATTGAGTCTATTTCGGTATCTGTGCCTTCTTCACCCTCACTCAGATTAGAATGCTACAGCTATAACTGTCATAGGCACGGAGTTATGTCACTTTCATAGCAATTTTTTGAGAAGGATACGTGTCCTCCTTCTGTCGCTTTGGATCCAATCCTCACAAGGCTCGCACCCAAAGCACAGCTTGCTGCAAAGCGTTGAAAAACATAGACAAGTGAAATGAACGGGATTATATTAATCTATAGAAAGGGTGACCTTATTCAGCACAAACATCCAAGTCACCTTCTTCTCTCGCCACCTTCTCGCGCTTTTTCTGTGCTCCAGACTTCTTCTTTCCAGCACGCTTCCGAGCACGGGCTTTAGGCTGGCCAGTGGTTCCCTCTTCCTCATGAGGACTTGTCGGTTCCTGGCAAGCGAAGCATTGGCATAAAGAGAGTATAGACGCGTAGCCAATGTGCTACAATTGAAGAAAGGAGAGATCACGTCGGTGGACACTGCGCTCAGTCTTTAGGCCCCACGGTCTTTAAGATTAGAGAGCCTCGCCCTCCGACCCTCAAACCCTCATAGTTCTATATTGCTGGGCATCCCCAACCAGCAAAGGGTGTGGCACATTGCTTCTTGCGAGGAAGGGGCGGCTGGCAGCCTGTGTTTCCCCTGCTAGGGCATAACATTCAGCTTTCATGCAGGAGACCTGACCTGACAGCAGAAGTTGCTTCCAGGTAGCAAGGAAACCGGAGTTCACTGAATTCACAACAGTCGTTTGGTCACATTCCTCCGCTCTACCCCAAAGGCTTTTGGTTTCTTCGACCTTATAGCTCTAGTCTAGTCTTCCCGTGCCCAAGCAGGGTCTTCCTGAACATGTCGGTCAGCTTCCAAGTTCCCATTGGGCCTCCTTCTCATTGTCGCTGTCTGACTTGTCTATGTCATCCTTCTTCTCCGGACCAGTGATGCGGCTAGAGTCTGTGGGTCCTGTGGGTGCCTTGTCAATGACCTCCGCATCTGCCACGGCCACATCGTCGTAAGCCTTAGATTGCTAAGCCGCTGCTGCTCCCGGTCACCATAAAATCATACAGCTTATTTCTTCTGCAATCCCACCAGGCTCGGGAAAACGAATCTGAGTGTTTTGATGTGTTTTGCAACTCTTTCACTTTACGGCCTTGAAATGTTTCCAGTTGTGCTAAGAACACGGAGGGTGAGCAGGTTCATAAATATTGCCTAATCAGAACAGCCCCACAAAGGACAACTTCTAAACACATTGAACTCGAGAACGTTATTAACCTCCTTTGCCTCCCTCGTCAAGACTTGACTTGCAAAGCTTTTTGCCAAGACATGGCTGTGGCTAACCAACATCCTGTCCGCAGAGCCAAGCCCTGCGGCCACCGCCATACTAACGCCCAGGTATTGAAATAATCTTCAAACAAAGCCAGTGAAGTAGTGAAAACATAAAATGAAAACATTAGGTTTAGCGAGGTAATTCTGAACTCAGCAAGAAGCCGCCGACTGTCTTCCATTTTCAGCAGCCACCCGCAGGCGAACAATCTGCTTGGCTTCTTGCTCCAAGTCTTCCTCAGTGAGTGTTCGAGAAGGGCACTCAGCCAAAAGGATCCAGCTCAAAATTCAGCCGAAGTTCCAACGAGTTGGTTTCCCCGAGCGGACCTATCGAATGATTGTGGGATCATGCAGAACATCCCTATAAATATTGCAAAAAATTGGTGTTTTCTTTTATAACATGCCCGAGCATCCCACTCTTTCTGAGATTGGAGTCGTTCATTCTCTTCTTCAGTTTTCGCTCTCTTCGCTTTGGAGGTGGTCACTAGCACTCCTCGGCGCCCCTTCGGAGCCATCGGAGGCACATCTAGGCTGCTTGAGAAGGCTGTTCCCCTTCTGCAATGAGTCACAAAGGAATGTCATCGCTATTATACACATTTAGAACCTAGAGACAAAGTTTGAAAGGAGTGCAGAATCATAAGGTACTAATTCTGGTTGGTCTCAGCATGTCTCAGCTGTCTTTGCTGCGAAGGACTGGACAAACTACAAGCCTTCTCACGGCAAAGCTTGCTGACCCCCACCATGTTTCATGGTCCAAGTCCCAATTGATTTGGAGTGGTATCCAGTTTCTTTTGGAATGGCGATGGTTGTCCTTTCGCATCTACAAATTCTAAGCCGAAAGGTCCCGGAAACAAGCAGGCTCACAGCTTACGCAAGCTGTGGGGAAGCAACAATCAAGCAGCAACGCTGGGAGAAGGTCAAACAACGAAACAAGCTGAGGAGCTCGAATCAGTGGTGGTGTGGAGAAAGGCACCAGGAGTCAGTGCTTCTTTCCACGGGGTGTCTGCGGTGTGTACGTATACAGTTTCTTTACATTATATCAATATGTTACACAGTATTTTTAATGTATAGATGATCTATAGATGCATATAGTATAATAGTATACAAGTGTATATATACAGTCTATGGTGAATGAAATCATGTAATGTCGAGGGCGTCTCATCGTGTCGAGTTCTTCGGGGTTTGTTCTCGCACCGATTCGGGGCTCCGCACCTTCGGCCATGGAAGCTGCGGCGATGTTGTGGGTGGGCTGTTTTTGAAGAGACAAACATCCAAGTCAGGACTTCTTGACTTCAATCAGCAAATCCCAGGAAGTCAGGATGAAAATAGAGTTAACCAAAAACCAAGTTCCATCTTAAAGGATTGCCGGGGTGTGCTGGGAATTTGCCCAGACTGAGAACTAAGAAGTTGAAACCAAACCGGAGCCCATGTCTTATCTGCACAGTTCTATAGATTCTGTGACCTTTGTGCCACCCTCTGGTGCATTATCAGTGGCGCCTCTTCTTGATACATTAGGCATTTTTGGATTCGTTTGCATTCCAGCAAGAACTCCTCAACCATGTGGCAGGCTTAAGCCTACGACCTTTCGGCCATGTTTGAAATTTGCTTATCTAACTGAGCTGTTTCTTTACATTCAACCGCTACAAACCTTGGTGTGAGCCAACAAAAACTTGGCAGTATCTCTGTGGCTTCATCCCTCTGGAGCTAAGAGCCCCTCACTCCCTCACCTCTTTTTTCTTCCTCCAGGATCTCAGCTAGCACCCCCGCCTTGGCAAAACACTGACTGATCAATGCACTCGCTCTCAACCAACGGATTTCGTTTGGCGGACTATTTGGTGAGCAATAGGCTATACGCTATAGGCAAGTTCTGCCATTGACAACCGGTCTGGAACATCCTGGATATCTATATAATCTATTTGAGCAGGTGATCATTAAACCGATATATAAATATATTTATATATATATAGCAATACATCTTCGGCGTACGTACAGTAGGCCTATGCTCAAGCAAGTACCTGATTTGCACATTCTCGCCCCAACAAACCATCTCAGCTAGGTTTCGCACCGCCCAGCTCTCACCCTGAAGCCTTGCAAATTTATAGCCAAACTTGTTGAAGGTGTTGGTGCCAAAAGTGCAAGACAAAACTGCAAGTCCCAAGGTCCAAGGATCCAAACAAACAGCATGGCAAGGGCGCAAGAGTTCTGACAAATACAGTTGCAACTAGCTGCAAGCAACATGTGCATGAAGCAGCAATGAACTTAGCAGCAAGCAATTGGCACAAATTCCACCATTCAATTTTGCCCAACTTGACGCTCTGCATCTGTATACTGCCCACCCATATGAAGTGACTGTGCCGTCTTTCCTGAGCTCGGAACCTTTCCAGTTCTTTAATGACCAGGCCAGTTGTCTGGGAGACGTTGTTTAAATGCTCCACCTTCGCTTAGGAGGGTCCATGTGCATCCATGTGATCAGCAACAACGTCACGGGTCACTGTAAACAGTCCAGAATCGTTATCTCGGTTCTTAAACTCTTGTCCTCTCTTTCCTCGTCTGGCAACAAATGTGTCAGTGTCTTGCACTACCCAACTCAAAGCACCAGGGGAAACTTGTGTACTTGAGCATATAATGATTGAGAATTCATCATGCCCCCTTACTCCCCTTCCTGTTTCCCTCCGACTATCTAGGTCCATCACCTCCCAAATGTCCCATCTGCGCTTGGGCCTCATAGCCTTTTTCGTTGGCTGCTTCTTCATAGCCATCTCGGGCCATCTCAATGTCCTACAAGCTGGGGCTTCCAATGTCAACTCGCCATATTGTCAACTCATGGTCATTGAGTAGCAATCTCAATTTGTGAGAAACATATTACATTATATATATATTTTATATAATATATACGATAAATTACGTAGTATATCAGTCTATCAATGTCCTCCATAATTACCTTCAAAGGCTGTCACTGTCCTCAACCAATTCATAGCTCAAGGCAGCCAATCTTTTTGCCCTTTCCTTGCAAAAAGAGAAGGCGTGTGTGGCGTGCAAGGTCCATAGGGTAGGGGTGCCGAGTTTGTTCATCCTCACCTTGGCAACCTCATGCCCGCGCAGCCAAGTCATGCATCGACTGTACAAATGACTCATACAAACAATTTAGCGCGAATCTGAAATAGAACCTGCGAGGCGCAGATATGTCACTTCACTCAAGTTAGCATCAAGGATAAACATCTCAAGTATCAACTCAATGTGTGTGTGTGCATGTTCACTGGATCTTGGACCGCCGCTAGTGTAGCATCGCTATAGGGCTCCTGAGAGAGACTCACACGGATAATTCATCGCAGGATGGTGCTCAGGCCACTTATATCGGATTATATCGTCTGCTAATCCTTCCATTACTTTCATGACCAGGTTTGTGGACCGAAGCGCGCCCCTTCAAGAACAAGGTTGCGCAGGGTGCAAGGTGCCTGTCGTACCTGGCCTGTCAGCGTCACCCCAAAAATCTTCTTCACCCAACCGTCACGTCGATTCAGCTCTCAATCTCGGCTGCCTCTGTGGGCTTCTCCATGGGCGCATCCAAGCTTTCTGTGATCCTTAGACAGAGACGGTCGGTGCACCCGCGTGTCAACACCCAGGCCCTCTCCCTTTTTGAACCTAGCCGAGACGCTGCGTGGCTGAGGCACCGATTTCTCGCAGAAAGACCACGTCAGAAATATAATCTGGCAACCTTGCTGAAGCAAGTGCTTGCAGTTAATCCGCCTATTCTTGATGAGCTCTGCAGCGTACTTCCTGCAAGATCCTGTGTCAACTCTGAGTCTCAAAAGATCTTGTCCTAGAGTCCTAGAGGACCTGACAAATCATTGAGCTGAGCTAGGCCGCTGCTGGCACATGTTGTCGGCTGTGCTCAAAAGATCACTCATCACCTGGCACGTCATGATGCAATGATGCCTCACTTTTCAGCATGACAGCGCTGTAACTTCAGTTGTCTCCACACATCTAATCTAGGTTCAGTGATTACAGCCACGATAATATATAGTATAAATTGCTTTTGGTGCGGGAAGTGCATGAGTAACCGCTATAGGACACAGCAAACGCAGATTGATATGGTCGTTTCACAATGCCAGGCCAATCTATACCATTGATAGGGCCAATATTTGGTTGAACCAAGAAATGTCACACAGCCTTGCAGGGCCTCAGAAACCTGGATGGCTGCAAAGGAAATTTCCTGCAATGCCAACATCGACTCCTCAGAGCTGCCAGCGGCCTGCGCCAACGGCGGGCGACGCACGACATGGTTTCTCTTGGTGGACGACGCTTGTGATGGCTCTTCAAGCTGACCATCTTGGCGCCATTGTGTCGAAGGCGCTGAAGAGCCATGACGGTCCGGTGTCTGCCCGTGGTGACAGGACAAGGTTGAACATTCATGGTCAGTGTGCTTGGAGTAGCTTGACTCTTGACATGACTTGGAGGTGGGAGAACAGTTCAGTAGCAAAGATTCTGACGTTTGTCGAAGCAGTCGTGTCTGTGACCAACGAATCAAATGCCCAAAGTACTGTCTTTGAATGAGTGCCACCCACTCGGTCAACTGCTCACTGGACCTCCAGCTCCAACTCCTTCTCCAAACCTCACCAGGGAAACAACACAACAGTTGACTTAGAACGACAGTCACGCACGGTCCCTGATGACTTAAGCGCTCACTTGACTTGGCCTAAAAATGACAACCCCTCACTGATGCATGTCGCTGAAGTTCCTGCAGGATGCTGCCTTCCAAGCAGCCAAACCATTACCCGCCGTGTGGCTCTCTCATAAGAGAACAACGGTGGAGCAAATGCAGCGGTGCGGTAATTGGTGTCTTTTCTCATGGTTGGCTGCCAGCTCTGCGTCTGTTTCAGGCCTTCTCGTGTAGGACCGTCACAGGACATTCGTTGTTCGTCGGCAAAGGCCCTTCTGGCGGCAAATCCGGACATGAGACCTTCCAGGCTTGCTGCTTGTTTAAACATGACGGTATTTAACTATTAATTATTGTCTAATTCTATTTTGGGGTGGAATCTTGGAGGGCAAAACACCGGGCTTTCAGGCCACATGTCATCATTTCCGGACATCAATCTCAAACACTCAGGTCGACAATTGCCGACGTTCCAAACGGAGATTGGACATTTAAAGATTTTTGGACAAATACATACTGATCGAATTAACCTCGCTGTTGAGCAAGCGTGAACACCATGCTCATCGTAGAAAAGCAACATGCTGCAGTGCTAGATCCAATTTACCATAATTTACCGGCTTATGACGCGGTGATTAGATTACAGTAGCAAATTTCTACGCTGCTACGAGAGCAAAGCAATTGGCTCCCCACTCCCAAGGAGGAGACGGGGTGGCAAGTGGATGCGAGATGCTACAAGGGACGGGGAATGAGGACGTGTGCTACCAAGTCCATCCAATTTACAGTGGAAGGCTAATTGACAACGGCTGCCAGCATCTTTCAACAAGCACAGGTGCACAAGCTTACTTCTGGTTCATGAAAACTCTTCCGCACCCAGCGCAACATCTGAAGAATCGTGCAGCGACCGATCTAGACTTAAAATGTAGGAAAACAAAGGCTTGAGCTGACAGCTGGCCTTGGGCGACCTACATCTTGTGCCAGTTTCTAGGATGGCAAAACAATAATGATTGTGATCATGATACTCCCATTCCTTATTGCCATCCAGGAGCCAAGAGCCTTGTAGTTCAGCCATTAGGTGACAAGTGTTCTGCTCAACAGTCCTGCAACATGCTTATGGCTCCCTGGCTCTAGTGCCCCTAGTGTGGCACCATACCGGGTTCCGGTGGGAAAAAGCCCAGTTCCAAGGCCGACGATATGCACAGCTTACATCTCACTGTACTTTGATGTAAACACCCAAAAGGTGTCTTCAGATCCTTCAAAGCTCACTCAGTCACCCAAACGAGAGTGCAGGCTGGTCTGCAAAGTAACACAGTATGTATGTATGAGGTCCAAATTGCAAACGCTACCGACTGGCACTGCTGCTCTTCAGAAAATTTGCTGCACCTGGCAGTCGACATCACGATATGAGATTCTCGGGGAGCCCAATTTGGTGCTGCACCACAGCACAAAAAACTGTCAATAGCAGGTATGCTGACTCAAACAAGCGCGCATCAACATGGGTCGAATATTCTTTGTCGTTCTTCTGCAAAATCAAGTTTTGCACATGTCCAAAACCCATTCATTCATCTCGGCCCGATCTATACGTACAACAAAAAATAGCCAAACAACATAATACATCTAAATATATTTATTGGTAATTATGTAAAATTGTATAAACATGTTCGAAACATGTAGAAACGGTCCAAAACAAACGTTAATAGTTAATAGTAGGGCTTGGGAGATGGTTTCCCTTCGGCCACCACAACTGCAGTGTTACTGCAACCGAGTTATATGTTCAACGTTTTTTCACTGCAAGAAAGTGACCAAATCTTTCACAGTGTGGTTCTGCGCGAACTTCTTGAAGGGGATGGGGTGATGTCTGCGTTCAAATCGGCATCGGAGCAAGGATCCTGAACGCTGTCACCGTGCAGCGATCACTCTGTCACCTCCTCCTCTGCCCTACCAACATTTGCTTTCATGATCATGATGTGCCGTGCTAATTGTACGAGTATAAGTAGACTGCTGCAATGCTGCAACTCCACAAGATGTCTTCTCTTGGCAGCTGGGTGACTTTCAGGCCCAACATGCCCCACCCCTGGAAGCCCTGCTGATGAGATTGTCGTGGAATCAACTAGTTACAGTACAGTGGGTCAAGTTTGGCTCACAAATGATTTTGCTGCCACTAAGTGTCGAAACCATCTGCCCAGAACCATTCCTGAGGGTGCAGCTCGAGGGGAGGTCAAGCACGGCAGTGCAGGTTCCAAATGTTGCTTTTCAAACTCATCAATTCCTTACATTCATTTGCTTCTCCCCAAGCTGGGCCCCGGGTGGAGCACCTTTGCTCTGGACCGCTTCATAGACGAATTGCCTACTACTTGCCCGACAAGTCTCGTGCATCATATTGCTAGTAGTAATGGCCTCCAACCTAGCAGCGTCCTTGCTCCTAGTAGCGATGCCCTTTGCTACTAGTAGCTTCTTGTTACTACAGTACGGCCAGGAGCTACTAGTAGCGTCCTTGCTACTATATACTTGCCCGACAAGGCTCGTGCATCATAATGGTTCTGACGGGTGGTCTCCAGTGATAATCCACTGTCAAGCACTGACGGATCACAGATTTGCCTCAAACTCGCAGCGTAGTTCCACACATCTAAAGGCAGTCCTACCACGGAGTCCAATCAACATACGCTGTTGGCCACCAAAACTCCAATGGATCGTCGGATGCAGCCAAGTGGCATGGTTCCGACAGATTTTGGCACCTGGCATGAGGGAACCAAACGACACATTCTGGCAATCATCCACAAATAGTCCGGCACGATAACGATGTGTCTGCATTCTCGCAACTTTCGCGGCCAAAGTTCACGAACGCCAAACCCTGTAGATTCATGTAGATTCTATGCCTAAATAGTGTAGGCTGTACGCAAAGGTGTGGCATGGGCCTTCAAGAAAAATTGGCCCACCAAGCGTGCCAGGGATACCAGGAGCCAGTGACCTTTAGTGCCGGATGGTCCACAAAAACGCTCTCCGGAAGAGTCTTCCAAGGGAGTCGCCCTGCCAACATGTAGAACAAGCAAATGCCACAGCCCCAAACCTCAGGCAGGAAAAGACGCCGCCCGCAGGTTTGCAGAACTAATCCTTAAAAATCCTTAAAAATAACGCCGCCCAATTAAGGAAACCTCATGTCGGAGACCCGACATGTACAGTTTAAACGTGATTGAAATTACCGCCTTCTTAAACTAAATCGACAAACATAGGTAATTTGAGTGTTGTTTCTCAATCAGGGTAATAGAATCACCACCAATTGTGCCCCTCACTAGAGACGCGCAGCAATCTACACACGCATGTGCACCCTTCCACGGAGCCACGCAAACGCGCTTTGCGCCGAGGCCTCGCAAACCACATGGCACAGCGACATTACCGATCGAAATCTTTACAGTAGTGGTCTTGTGATCACAAGCGAATAATATCGAAGAATCACTATTTTTAAAATGTGTTATTGTAAAGGGAAAAGGAGGCCTTTCGATCTGGAGTTTTTTGCTGATAATTATACATGATTTTGTAGGAATAGTCCGTGGCGACTTTTCGGACTTGAATCAAGCAGGTTTCCATGTTTTCGGGCCCCCTATCAAAAATAACGACAGCGGAGTTTATGTATTAGGGGGACCCATGTATTTTAAAATGGTGGAAGATAAGTAGGCTGTCTAGCCGGATGACAATGATGCTGTGCTGGTTGATACCAAATGCATCCAGCGTGTCTTGGTGAGTGATTGCCTTGTGTGCCAAATCTACCAGCGCCAACCAACCTGAAACTTGGCGCAAATATATACTATAATGGACTTTGATAGCGGCCCTAAGTGATGTGCCCCATCTGGCAGTAGATCAAACCAAAGCCCAAAAGGCACATGCTTAGCGCAAGCAGGCGGGAGTGCAAAGAAAAACACTGAAGTTGTTGTGAAACTGGGCAGGCTATTTTGTTGGCAGCCCAATATTTGTAGAAGCACCCTTGGGATTGCTCCTTGCATCTCAGGTTTTGTCAAGAACCCTACGGTAAGCAAATCTAACCAGAATGCCGAGTGTCATCATTTGCTTCTGATGGCGGCTCGCCGTTGATCACCTCCGGTGCAAAGTAAAGGCGAGTGCCCGTCATGGTCATTGCGCCTGCGATGCGCTGAAAAGGCCAGGAGCCCCTAAGAGCGTCCTTGCTCCTGGTAGCGATGCCC